TGTCTTGGGCCTCTGTGGAATTCGGCTCCTCCTGTTTCAACTGTTCTTTATCAAATCTTAAATTGTCTGATTCGGTCTGATACCCTACACCGCCTTCAAGTCCTCCTGGGGCTTTCTTACTTAACAGTTCAGAAGTCGTAATTATGATGTGATATGCATTCTAACTTTCATATTTCTCTTTTCTGACAAATACTTTTTTTAGCATTAGTGAAACTACATAAGAGATTGATGATAGCAGTTTTGTCGAAGCAGCCCATATTCTTACAAATTGGCTAAATGAGTAGTGTTTTCTGGGAAGCTTTGTCACTATTCTTCATCAACAGTTCATAAATTGCATACCAAATAAATTTCACAGGCAACGCTGACAATGACAACTTAATTATGACCAATAACAATTTTCTTCTGCTGTGATTCTTTAATTTACACTCAGAAAGTCTGGACTCTAAGAAAATACAGAGCATCCCACTGGTAATTAGACATTGTGCTTTCATTCATGTGTGTTAATCTTGTAAATATGATCATTCACGCTTACGCAACTAGGCTTTTGATTAATGGAATAAAGTGTGGTCCAGATTACAGCAATACTGGCCAAAATCACTCACTCAGACAAGAAGAGATTACCTGACATATGAAGCAACCAACCACAGTTTGTGTTATTTTTAGATGTCATTTAGGTTTACATGAAATAGATTATACAACAACAATAGATTGCTATGGAAAAAAACTTCAAGTTTCATGCAGCAGCAATCCCCACCCTCATATCTTCTTTTGTGTTCCAATGAAGAAAATAAGCCAGGTTTGGAACAACACGAGGGTGAGTTAACAAAATTTTCATTTTTGGGTAAACTATCCCTTTAACTAATTATTATAATTAACTATGTATCATAATTCATTAATGTTAATTTTCATTTTCATAATTTCAAAACTACGTAAACGTATTTTGTTTCAGCTTCTTGCCAAGGCAACATTTTTCATTTTCATGTAGTTTAACTTGATAAATAGTTAAAATTTGTATATATATATAACAAGTACCCGAACCTAAAACTGAAATAAAAAGAAAAAAAAATAGACATACAGCATTTAATAATAATAAATAAATAACAATTGCTAAAATTTTGAATATGGAAAATAAAAAAGAATGCAAAATATTAATAAAAATGATGATGATGATTGTAGGATATCAGACCGAATCAGACAATCTAAGATTTGGTCAAAACCATTTGGGATGTGTCCAAAAGCCCAGTTTAAATACTCAGGACACCATCAAATCCCTCTCTTCTTTTCTTTGCTCGCTCTTCTCTCTTTTGCTCTTCTCTCCTCTTCTCTTCTTTTTTGGTCATGGCTTCTAGCCGTGCTTTTCAGTCATCGCTTTTTGCGCTCTTTTTTGAGCGTGCTCTAGCTTACACGCCAGCTCCTCCAAAACCATGAGGAGAAACGCCACCTAGTCTCGTCAAACTTTACTTCTATTTCTTTACT